GGAGTCTGCTTCTCCCTCTGACCCTCCTCCCTCTCATGCTCTCTCTCATTCTCTCTCTCTCAAATAAATAAATAAAATCTTTAAAAAAAAAAAAAACTAATGAAGTACTGTATGGTGATTAACATAATAAAAAAAAAGAAAAGAAAAAAAGTACTAAAAATGAGGAGAGAGCACCAGAGGCCACCTTCTACAATTCCTTCTACAATTCTGTTTTTTAGAAACTGGATTCAAGTGAGGGATGCTAATTCAAGAAATTTACTCATTTGGCAAATGTTTATTGACTGCTTACTCTGTGCCAGGCATAGTGTCCAGGGCTGGTCAGAGGACAAAGAATACAGACCCACACGACCAGGGAAGGCACAACTGGACAGGTGTTACAAGTGTCACCGAAGAGGCGTACCAGGTACTCCAAAGGAGCTCACTAACAGAGTGGACCCAAACAGCTGGGGGAGGGGAGGAGGTCCAGATTCTAGCTCCCTAACTAGACCGCAAACTTTCCTGGGGCCACAGACTATTCCCTCAATGCATACTTTTAAAGAATGTATCTTATTCTGCAGTTTCCAAACTTTTTTTAAGGCATCTTCACACAAATTCTTACCTGGCAGCCCAATGAATAAAACAGGAAAAAGAGAAAGGACTTTGGACCTGACCCAGTCCTCTATTAACCCTCTGCCCTGTTCCCACCCTTTGTTCAGCCTACCAGGTTTGCTGAACCTTCAGGCTTCTACAGGGCACAGTTTAAAACCACCAGTCTATGAAGCCACTCTCCGTTGACAAATGGGAAAATGAAGACCAGAGAAGTGAGGGAGATCTCATCTCTTTTCTATCCCCCAGAACATTTACCATAGGAATCTACGAGATATGGACATGGAATCAATGTGGATAACTGATGGGAAGTACCAGGGTAGAGTAAAAGGAATAAGGACTTTGTTGTGTCAGAGATGCCAGGGTTCAAGTACCAGATATGCCATTTAATAAATGTGTCCTTAGTCAAGTCGCATCTAAGCCTCTCTAAGCCTCAATGACTTCATCTGTAAAATGAAAAGATCAATACTTCCTACACAGCATTTTCATGAGAATGGAACACATGTAAGGTAATAAAATAATCATTCTTGGGGCGCCTGGGTGGCTCAGTCCTTTAAGCGTCCGACTCTTGATTTCGGCTCAGATCATGATCTCAGGGTCGTGAGATCAAGCCCCACATGGGGCTCCGAGCTCAGCGCAGGGTCTGCTTATCCCTCTCCCTCTGTTCCTCCCCTCACCCCCCCCTTAAATAAATGAATAAAATCTTTTAAAAACAATACAATAAAATAATCATTCTCATTATTTTTATGAAAGAGCACCAATTATTGTGGATTCACTCTCTGGTATGTACCTAGACCAAAGGCTGGCATTTGTTCAACAAAATCAGTTCCCTTCCTTCTTTGCACGCCAAATCTCTTGCCCCTTCACCCTTCTCTAAGTGAGCATTCACATACCTTTGGGTTCCTCCAGTAGTACATGCAGCACCACGGCTTTTTTGAACACTAGGCTCTCCCTTTCCAGCCGGATTTCGCAGGTATAGGTTCCCTGGTCAGCTTCTTCCACATTTTGGAGCAGGAGAGAACCATCATTGCGTAAGATGTCCCCCACCAAGCGTACACGATTCTTGAAGCGCCCCACAGGCACACTGAGGTTGGCATAATAGTACAGCACATAATCATCCTGGAGGGCAGCACAATTTGGGGAAAATCTAGAGTCACTGGCACCAGACCTAGGAGTCTGGATCCAAAAGACCCTGTTCTGTGGCAGTGGCAGCATCACCACCATCACCACCACCACCACCATCGCCACCTCCACCACCACCACCATCATCGCCACCACCACCATCATCATTATCTAAAAAAATTTTTTTAAAGAGTATTGCCTATAGTATTTAAAATAAGAACTATGAGAAAAAGGAAGTGAAGGAGTAGAACAATTATAAACTGACGAGTAAACTTTGTAGAGAAAAGTATAGATGGCTTCACATGGGGGAAGACAACCTCCATCAGACAAGCTGAATAACTTTCCAGTGGCCACCAGGCACATTTTGAGGAGTTGGCTCTACCCCCTTCCTGGCTAGAAGGGAAAAATACAGGTTGTTCCACTGGCTACCGAGGAAGGATGTGACTAACCCTAAAATTGCTCTAGCCTGTTTCCATGGATGCTCCTTTCGGTTCATGCCCTCTGTGTCTCTTCAAAGAGGGAAAAGACACCCATTTTGTAGACCATGCTTGTATGGACAAGTGTCCGGGCAAGGCATCAGAAGACAAAGTGGAAAGGAGTAGCCCAAAGATAATCCTTGGGGAAACAGCCGATTCGTTTCCTCTTTCTGGAGAACTACAGCTTTGAAAATCAAAAGAAAAATGTCAATGGAAATTGGAGGGGGAGATG